TCGGCTTCCCAATTCTAACAGGGGAAACACGGCTGTCGGGAGAAGGCCGGTTTACGTGGCGGCAGGCGCAAGGGCTGAGGCGCTTCCTCCTGGGGATGGGAGCCCAGGCTGGATGTGTCGGGGCGGGTTACAACACCCCCTTCCACTTCCACAGCAGCAACACCCAAGCGCTAGGAGCAAATCACTCCTCCGCCTGCCCTGTCTAGCTGGTTTGTCTGCTGGCAGGGCTGTTCGGGCAGCGTCGAGGTGCCTGGACGCCCATAACCCTCCCTCTTTGCCGCTGGTTTGGCAGAGGTGTGGAAATCTCCCCCCGCTCTGCAAGGTGTGCGGTGGCAGTGGGGAAGGGGGTCGCCCCGTGCTCACGCACATGGATTCCCACCTGACGCGAGCTGAGAGCTTGCACACACATGGACAGAAGCTGCCAACGACACAAGTTACCAACAGGGCTGGTTCGGAAAAAGAAATGGGAGAAGCTTCTAAATTAAGTGGTGACTGCACAGCCAGCGCGTTCCTGACAGACTCCTATCGCTGAGCTGCCCTTTCTATGCTTAAACAATGGCAGAAATAAACTTGCTAATTTAAAGAGAATCAAAATGAAGAATTAACTTATCAGCTGTCTCCACGGCGGGCAGGGGATGTTACCTTCCGGTTAAGACAGACAAACAAATTCAAAATACCCAAAAGAAACAAATCAGCTTTACTGAAGGAGCTGGTTCATTTCTTAAATAAAAACAGAGACCACGATCAAGCCAGCTGAGTTTAACATCCTAGAGAGAGAAAAGGGCAGATGTTTTTAGTAAAAGACAGAGGTTGCGAGAACTTGTGGCCAAGGACCGACTCTGGGGGTTGACTCTTCGGTGACCTCAGTGCCCCAGCCAGGGAGGGGGAAGGAGGGCAGATCAGCGGCAGCGAGATGGTTTTCAGGAGGGCACCGGTAAAACCAGAGAGGGAAGGTGCCTGGCCCTGAGCACAAGACGGTGCAGCTGATTTCATCCCGCTGCCTCACCTACACACAGGGAAGGCGCCTTTCCCGAGAAGGAGCTGCCTCCTTGCCGAGGTGCCGAGTCTGGCGTTGGGATTCCCACGGCCGCATCCCTACGTGTTGCTCCGCTCCTTTGATTTTTCACCTTTGCTGTCCTGGTGGGGAAGAGGAAAGAGAAGCAGAGGCTTAGGCTGCCCCACCACAAACGCCGTGCAGGGGTTGCAGCGCTATCGCTGGGGTCCTGCAAGCAAACACCCTCCGTGCCTGGGTGCCAAAACGCAGCCACCACCCGCCCATGCCTCTGGCTTCCTTCGTGCCCACTCTGGGCACAACCAGCTCCCTTCAGCCAAGCTCTCCTCGTGGTTAAACATTTTTCCATCATGAGGCCTTTCCAAAGGCACCTCGATCAGACAATCTTGCAGTGGATTTACAAACGCTGCCCGTTTCCCAGCCCTCTACCACGCCGCACGCCACCTCCCTGCATACGGGGAAACAACCGGCACACGCCTGCCCAGGCCTGGGCTTGCCGCGATTCAGGCTCGCTCAGCTCTCATAACACTAAGCGAGGTATTAAAAAGGAAACCAAACACACACGTGGCACTCTGGCACACGCACACACAGAGAGCTCACAGCACTGGAGTGAGGAAACCGTTCCCAGCGTAGAGAAATGGCTCTCGTCTCTGGAAAGCCTTTAAGTCTGCTGCCTGAATTATCTACTAAGGTCTCAACATTTACTCTTCCACAGAAGTCACTGCCTTCCAGCTTAGGACTGGATTTTTCTCTCTCTAAAGTGTTTTTTCTACCCTGAGCAAATAGGAAAAAAAAAAAAAGGCAAGAGTCAACTTTGGACTTACTTTTTACGTGGGTTTAGTTTTAAAGTATTTAGAAACTCAAATTAACTGGAGCCCTGCTTACCACCTGCAACGAGAAGCTGAGGTTTGCGACATGTCAAAGATTAGACAGGTTAAGGTTTCCTTGGATCAATGTCTTTTTTGGATGGGAGAGGGAGACTGCAGGATCGCGCGTGCCCCAACGGTACAGCATCACACACGCACAGGCTCCCACCGAGGGGACGGTACCTCAGGAGGCGGTGGCTTGATGGTCACAGGCTGGGACGTCCTTCGAGGCGGCGAAGGCTTGGGCTGCACTTGCTGCTGGACAGTGTTGTAGTACGTGACCCCTCCGTACACCTGGGACTGGGCCTGCGTTCCCCAGAGAGCAGAAGGGTCAGTGCTCTTCACTGCGAGGGAGCGCAGAAAGCTGCATCCCCCCCGAGAGCACCACGTGTCTCGGACAGCCTTTACGGCATACACCCCGGCTGGGAAAAGATGCCACGACCTAGCACCGGAGGCGAGCAGCCACAGCGGGATGGGGGTTGGTTTGTGCTGTGCTCCCCAAGGCTACACAGAACAGCAGCACCCACAGCTCCTGGAGGACCCTCACCTCCCCCAACCCCTCACCAGGGTCTCCCTGCTCTCTGCAGGGTGGGCAGGCACAGGCTGCAGCAATCCGCAGCCACGCCGGACTGAGGCTCGTGGCAGATGGGTTTCCTTCATCCCGCAGTTTCCCAACTGCCACGTAACATCTGTGCTTCACAACAGCAGCAGCTACCGTTTTTCTGTGCAGACAAGGCAGGTAACAGTTCCCCTTCACACCGAGATCCCCTCCAGCAGCCCGGGGGCTCAGGATCTGCCCCAAAAGCAGGCAGATTCCCTGCCGGGACAGCTGGGATCGGCCCAGGGCAGCAGGGAAGGTCAGAGAGGGTGCAGGGATCAGGGAGCGTGCACATCTCTCGCCTGCCAC